TGGATGTCGAAAAATGAGCGAAAACGATCCGATTCGCGTTGTTTCTTTAACTGTTTTTCCTAAAAATTTAATTTAATTCATTTAAATTAAAAAAAAATCATTCATACATACTTTAGACAGTGAAAATCACTGTCTAATTTTCAAATTATGCAAATAACAATTTCCTCAGTTTTTTTGACCTACGCTGTGTCACCTGGAGATTCTGGGATTCGTCTCGTTTCCTTAAAAAAAATAACTAGTTCAACGGTTCTCTCGAAAGAACCAATTGGCACAGCTTTAGATATTTCTAGATGTTCATTATGTCTATTGCGCACCACTATCTCGCCCCGGAAGTTGGAGCTTTTAGGCTGAAATGAAGTATTTTACCGATATACGTATATAAGTGTCATATAATTCATTTGAATTATTTATTCAGTTACCTAACTTATACTCCTTTTCTTCTTTTAATCTTCGTCTTTTCTCTCCCGTTCCGTTCTTCCTCTTTTGCTATTTTATTGCTTTTATTTTTTAATTCAATCTTTTCATCTCCGTTCTCGCATTTTTAAAAAATTTTATCAAACCACAACCACCGCGTACTGAGGAAGTTCAGTTATAGTACTGAAAAGGGACGTATACGACTTCACAGACCGAAACATTCTTTTCCAGTTTTATTATAATTTTTTTACATAAAAACAACATCTACTCTTTTACAGGATTTCCAAATCATGATCTTATTTTACGACTCTTTTCAAAATTTCGTAAAAACCTCTTGTATTGCTTCACCACTATACCTGTTATTGCGTTCATCTTTTCTAAATTTACCATTGTTAACTTAGACCAAAAAAAAAAAAGAAACTGGCATGAACTTATGGAAAGAATAAGGGATTTCAATTCAGTTTTTTCATCTTTTAGTTTTACTTTTCACTTTTCACAATTTTCTTGATAACACAAAATATCTAAATTTAAAATACCTAACGGGAATATACCACAAAATTACATTATACACTCATGTGACGTAAGAAGCACAAAAAAAGTTAACAGCTAGAATTAGAAGGATTTACTTGAAATTTTGAGTGGAATCGGACGAAAATGCTCTCCACAGTGCTGTTGCAGTAATGATTAGAAGCAAAAAAAGTGAAACAGCAAGTTAAAGTTTCAAAACGTACCTCTTCTGCCTTCATTTCCGCTTCGCGTTTTTCCTCCTCTTCCTGTCGTTTCCGTTCACGCCGCTCCTCTTCCTCCTGCCGCCTCTTTTCACGTCGTTCCTCTTTTTCCTTCCTTTTCCTCTCGCGCCTTTCCTCCTTCTCCTTTCGCCTCTTTTCTCGTTCCGCCTCCTTCAGCTCCTCCCTCCGCTTACGCTCTTCCCTCCGTTGCTCCTTCTCTTTTCGTCTTCTTTTCCTTTCTTCTTCATGCCGTAGTTCTTTTTCTCTGAAAAGTTTCTTTTTTTGAATTATATAACAATAATGTTTAATCCGTGAGGAAAACAACTTGCGAAGCTGTGAAACAAACTGAATGCGTAAGCAATAAGAATTCAAATTCGATGCATGCATTTCAGGATGAAAAAGTTTAGCTAAGCTTGCATAAATGAAAGAAAAGCATAAAAGAAGATGAGCAAAAATTCGGATAGATGCATTCTATAAGCAATTACTTCAAATTTGAACTGAAGAAATTCCAGAAAAGTGGGTACAAATCTATGACTAAGGCACAAGACTTGACTTTCAGCTGCAGATTTGTAGATTTAAAAAAAAACAAGAAATCCGAGTTTTGTAGACTGCGCGAACCAAGAAACGCAGTTACTAAAATGAGCAATATCTGTTGCTGAGAGTAAAAAGTATGTAATTACCTTTGGGCTTCCTCTTTTTTTTGCTTTTTTTCCAACGCAAGCTGCTCGCGATATTGCTAAAATTTGGTTTACAAGTTAACTGAATTAAAGCTTGTTACATTGCATTTTTCATACATAATTCCCAAAAACATGCTTTGAGACAAAACACAACCCGTACAAAAACGAAGTAGAAGGCCTAAAATCGGAACTGCTGAAAATTTTATGTGAAAATTTTCAATAATTAAAAATTTTAAACATTCATAAAGAAATGAATGAGATACCGCTTTTGCTTCAGCAATACGCCTTCGCTCAGCGATCCGTTTTTCACGATCAAGCCGTGCCTCCGCTGACACTGGCCGTTTTCGTCTCTTAACAGGTACAACACATCCGCTAACACTTTTTTCCGTATCACTCAGTAAATCAAGCACCTAAAAATATTGTTGAAAACTGATTCAGACATAACAAAAAAGGTTTTTTTT